AAACAACATCAGTGCATTATTCAATCCTTATCAGTGTGTCAATCAGAATATTTAATATAAATTTCTATATGATATGTATATAAGTATATATGAATAAAATCATCAATGAAATTAGCTCTATCATAAAAATTATCTGTTATTCAACTTCTTCCAGTGATTTGCTTGTTCAATTTACATAAAAATACTTTTCAATGCTTTGTAAATTATGCTTTTCACATTTAATAAAACAAAATGGCATTATTCCACTAAGCATATGAAGAAACGAGTGACAATAAAAGACCATAAATGTTATAAAATTAAAGGAAGCTAATGTAGCTTTCTTCACAGGGTACATAGACAATCACTATGCATATTTATTTTAATGGGAAGTCTATGATTACTTCAAATTCTGCATCTTGATTTTTGTAAGAAAAAAATAAACTAGAAAATCGCATATAAAATTTAGTAAGTTCAAGCATTATGTGGCCAGATTCCTATCAAGCAGCATATATATGAAAAAAAGTCATTTATAGGAGAGAAGATTTTACTATGAAGTTTTTTATGCTTTTTTTGCCTAATAGCATCGTAATAAAATTAGATTTTGTCACCCCACTGACAGTAGCTATATCTGTGCATATAAATAGAACGCCCACTTAAATGACTTCTTTAAGTCATAAAGCATTAAACTGGCTTCTCCTTATACAAATAAGTTGCAGTGCTCAGAACTGCTGAAAATGTCTCCACATGCCCACATTCTCCTCCTATGCGAAAGCTGATAAATGATACTGTTCTTTTTTAAGCTGGTTTGGGCTACTGCTGTGATTATCAAAATATGCTATATCATTTTAAAGGCAACAGGCAAGACTTACTTACTATTTTTAATTAGAAGCATTTATAAAGAATATCATTCCGTCCCTCTGCCAAAGTCATTTGTTACTTTCTTGCTATTATTGGAAAACAATAGTTGTATACTTGTACACTCATTTTGATCCCACTGAGCTACCTGTTTGAACAATAATAATGCTTTTTAGAATTTCATTTTTTGAGGTGTGATTGTGATATTGGATTTCACTGAGATAATTCACATAAACATGACTGGAATTTATGCATACTCTATATACCTGCTGTTTTTAAAATGTCTTAAAAATAAAAAATTTCCTTAAAGTACAATGTTTCATTTAAAAGCAAACCCATAACTGGCATTTTGGAAACTTTCAATATAAAATCTTAAAACTCTATTTTCCTCACAATCAGAATCTATCATAAGCTCACTAGATTTATTAGATTATATGAGAGGTACTATGGCATGTCACAACAACAAATCACAGTTAAAAATTAACTAGATTTGTCATCTTATTTTGTTCAATAAGTGTCAAGCTAACAGTTTATACGTTTAGGCAGGGATATGCAGTAAACTTCTGTTTCCTTCCTATCACCTATTCTTATAGAATGGTACAAAGACGAACAGGTTACAAAGAACATCAGTGTCTAACCAATACATTGAATGTGTTTGCATTTGTGAATTTCCCTCTGTCTTCATGAGAAATGTCAAATGGACAATCGAAGATACCTATTTATGAAAATGTGTTGTCTAGATAGCTACTAGTATTCTCTAGAATTTTTAATATGAAAGTCCTTTGCCCCTTTCTCCTACCAGTAAATTTGGTGGAACATGGGTGGTAGGTCTAGGTTTATTTTTATGCTGCAGCTTTTCCCCGGAATTATATAGTCCAATTTCAGAGAACAGGCAGTGGGGAACTTTCTTCCCACTGGTTTGCAGAGTTCCTTCCTTGTTTAAGAGGTAGGAAAGGAGAAGAAAGAGTGAAGGAGGGGTGAGCACTGCAGGAAACTGTGTCAGAAAGGTTAGAAAATTACAGTATCTAGTTATCAATGCCTACTTTAAAAAATGTATATTTTTATAGTATTAACAATAAAACCACCAGAGAATGTTGCTACTGTATGGGATTTGTATGAGATTTGGTGGCTAGAAGTCTGACAAAGTGACTAATAAACTCAGTTCAGTAAGTGTTCCTTAAGTTTCCATAACCCTGGGTCTGCCAGACTCCTCCCCACTGTGTGGTCCCTGATGCTGTCTCTGCTTCATCCCCATGTCAGCCTAGTTTTGAAGCAGCTGCCTCTCCACAGGAAATTCAATCACCTCAAGAATGTAGGAACATGGAAGTTTTGAGGAACAGTGGGGAGGAATTCCTAGTGTAGCAGTCTGCATGCTGTCATCTGGCTCCCCATCTCCAAAGACCTGTTTCTTTCTGAAACCCCTATCCCCCCATGCCCTGGTATGAATTCTTCCCATTTTATTATGCAGTTTCTTCTTTCTTGCCTGGAATCCTGGGAGTCAGGATTCCACTTGAGCTCGATTTCAATCTACAGGTCAGGAAAATTTTTTAAGGCCTAGTCCCAGCAGGGACTAAGAGTCATTATCAGGGCAACTGACTAGGAATAATAATTTTGTTTAACTCTTTATACAAATAAACATTTGATTTAAAGTATGTTTAGAATGTGGTTTCTTCTCACAATTTTCTTATCAGCACATTGATCCAAGCTACCTTCTTTTATCTGTCCTCACAAATTATAAACATTTCCTAACTGCTTCACTAGTTTCTACTCTTGCCCTAGAACCGCAGACCTAAAGAAATCTTAGGAGGTGGGAGACAGAGTAAGTTCGAGATGTTACTGGTGTTCCATCTCACCGACAGGAAACAAAATGCCTCCTCTTTCACTGCACCCTCGCTCAAGCCTCTGTCACCTCCTTATGTTCTCACCGACACATCCAAGCTACTCCCACCTCCGGGCCTGTGAACTTGCTGTTCCATTGCTTCGAATGCTTTGCTTCAAGATACCTACACACGTCACTCCCTCTCTAACTTGTTTCCTAGCTCAGCTCACCTTAACAGCAGGAACTGCAAAAAACGGCCAAAAGATTCCTACCCCACCCACCACTAGTAAAGACGGAGAAACACACACTCACACCTACACATAGAAGTGTCCCAATCTCCCTTAATCCATTTTATTTTTCTCTGCAATAATTTACTACCTATCCTCTCATTATGACTGGTATATTAGTATAAGTCTGTGAAGTACTGACTGAAATCTCAGATTTATTTCTCTGTATGTAAAACATGAGACATATTCTTATAATCCATAACAGGTCGCATGCATTTTATTTCTTTACTCATTTATTTTCCAAGTTACTTAGTTTCTGTTTGCCTCAGTTTATTAATCTGTAAAACGGAAAAAAATAGTTTTAGCAACCACCACTTATAATGTTTTAGGAGTTACAAATTGAAGTGATATATTTAAACAATTTGCTTAATACCTAGCAGAGAGAAATTACTACTCAACACTAGACTTTGTAGTTTTCTTAAGAACATATGATATTAATACAAAATAAATAATAACATTTTTGTTTCTATTAGTAGGTAGTTTTACAGGTTAGGTATGATTTTCAAGAACTCAAACCTGTGATGGGGATTCTTGTTATAAAGAGATTAAACTGAGGTATGCTTTCAGGAGAAGAGAGTAAGGAAAACAGGATAAAGCCAGGAAAAACAGCAAGAATGTGGTTTCTGCTAAACAGTGGCTTAAGCCTGATCTCACAGGAAGCTCTGATGCATTAATTGCGGCACCAAGTACCTCTAAATGCAAGAGGGCAAAACTTTCATGCCCTTGTGACAGTTAGGTCATGGGACGCTCTCAGTGGTGGCTACCTGACAAAGTCATCACCATTTACCTGAAGGTGTTTCTCCTGAGAAGTGGGCAGCTAGGAACAGTTGGCAGCCAATATTCACAACTGCTAAAGGATGGGCACGCCTTTGGAGATGCAATCTGGGTGGGATAGTAATAGCATCTACCACAACTTACAAAATTGCATCATAATTCAGAAATTGAAGGTACAAGTCACAGAGTTTAAAATTCATGCATGAATAGTTCGATATGTATTAAAATAGTGATAACTCATATTCTTTCTATTCTCTTTTTACCTTGCCTTTTAGATCAGTTATCACACTCAATTCCGTAGCCTCGTAGGAACCCTAAAACTTGTAGAGCATGCTGTGGAATGGTGATTGATTTTTTTTCAGTTTGTTTGTCTGAGATTTCAAGATTAGCAGATGGAATATCTGATTCAAATGAAATTTTATTGCTTTAAGTGAAGAGGTAGCAATTAGATTATTGTGTAAGTAGATTAGCAATCTGAACTCCTATTCTCCAAAATACTTATGACTAGGACATGAGTAGTAACTGTCAATATTAGGCAGCTGGAAGAGAGCCAAAATATCCGAAGCTATTGATAAAGCTTTTTATTGCTGAATTATACTTTCCGTTTAACCCATCTGCCAATAAAAATAGGTATTCTAGCATTTATTACCTAAATATATGCTGAATGCAATACATTTTAAAGATTTTGATGCCCCATGTTAAAATATGATAAACCAAAAAGCATTTAATGATTAAAGTGTCAACATATACAAAGCAGATCATAAAACACAAGATATGGCAAATAAATAGTAGGATCAGCCACTGGGTTACTGAGATTCAAGACTATGTTTTTTAAAGTCCATTTTAAATAATTATACATCCACTAAGATTTAACACCCCAACTTCTTTGTGACTCAATATTAACTCTTCAGTCTTACAGAAATGAATATGTAAGAAATGAAAGAAAATGATTTAATGGGCAAACATATAATAGTTTCTATTACTGTATATTTTAAATCGATTCCATGTAGAAGATAATTCCTTATCTGATTTACTAGTCAGAAATGTACAGCTAAGAAATCTACATGATTCATCATGGAAAAGATTTAAAAAATCCAATTGAATATATTGATGTGGTGGCTTATAAATTACAAAAATAATTTAAAACCAATGTTTGATTCAATAATTCTAGGAAGACAATAAAATCTTCAGGTACATTTGGCTACCTGATGAGCCATTTAAACAATTATAAAGAGATTCCTTGTTACTTTCAAATCATATTTTTATTATAACAGTTAATTATTATGCCACAGTATATTTTCACCAAGTAAAGAAAGCTTTTTCGTGGTTCACTGAGGGCAATCAACCTCTTCACAATCTAGAACCTGAAGACTGGATATTCTGAGAACATCAGTGAAAGACTGACCTTGCCATCCACACTGCAACAAAATTTTGGGAACTTGAACCTTGGGTTTATAATATAACAACTGAGAAGGGTACCCCAACACTTTTGGAACTGTACACCCATTGGAGCCCTTAAGTTAAAACTTACTGAGAAAGTTTCTCTCCAGAAGAAGATGACATTCTTCATGTGAACAGCTTTTCCCAAGATCACAAATCAAGACTTCTATTATCATGGTATTCTTATCTTTGAAAATGTTTTTCCTCCTTATGTCTCTATGAACAGTAGAAATTAAAAGGGTGTCTATTATGTGCACTTACAGGATGTACTTTTATTTGTGAAGAATTTTGTATCCATTCTTATACATATAAAAATTTGTACTGCGATAGGTAAAAGATGAAGGCCCAGTGTAGGTGAGAAACTTTAGTGGTACATACGTTGCCTCATAATCAGTAAAACCTCCTCTTATCCCACATCATGGACTAAAGAGAACATTGTCAGGAGACATTACTCTTCTACAAGGACATCATTTGTTAGTTCCTTCTTCCATGCTTTAGAATAAAAGAGGCAATAATTAGAAATGTATACCTTTTGATAAGCTGTATAACAGATTCTACTATTAAGGCTATTTTTATGCAACAGACTTTAAATTCTCTTGTGAAAGTTATTCTAAATAATAGAATTGGATAAACAGAAAAGTACCCGTGCAGCTGCTGGCACTTACGACCTATAAAGAAATTTATCAAATGCAGATTATAGAAATTCAGTTGAGAAGATTAATGAAAAGTTGACTTAGTCAAGTGAGTAGACTCTTTAGCTCATTCTTTATTTAATTTTAGGTGGTTTGGTTTATGGGGACCCTGGATAAGGAGCATATTCCAAACTCTTGGTATCATCCTCCCAATAGTCATAATAATAGTCTTGCTGGTGTGCCGTATTCTCTCAAAAGTTTTAAATGTTTGCATGCAGCCATCTCTAGAACTTCAACTGAAATAGCAAGAGCTGAAAGAAATTTGCTACCATGAAGATACCAAAACCTATGGAAAATGTGATGAAACAGGAAACCCATGATGATGGTAACAGAGTGGCACTAAGCCCCTAAGTTTTGGTCACACTCTCACCCAAGTGACAACCTGACCAAAAAGGGTTTTTTTTTTGGTTGTCGTTTTTTCTTTTAAATAACATTATTGAAGGCTATTGATTTGGAATAAGCTCACACACTAGACCCCAACAGGCCAACCAAACTAAAATGGAGTCACTCATGCTAAATGCAACATGGTCAAACTAAGACTTTAAGGAAACACATAGAACAGACAGGGTTTTGGTGTTTTCCTGTAAACAAGATGCTCCAGCATAGAGATACCCTCTACTCAGTTATCATTCTTACCTTTGCAAAACACACTGTTCTGCTGTTTCCCAGTGGGTTTCAAGACCAAATAAGTACATTTACAATGGTTATGGTGACATCAATAATGAAAATTTTGTCTATCTCTCAAAGTTGAGAAAATTATCAAAAGGGGAGAATTGTTAAAGTGAACAAAATATGGGCTGATAAGGACTCCATACCTTTATATTTAATTCCTTTTGGACAAAATGCATCCTAGGTTAAGAGGTAAACAAGATTAAAAACCTAACTTAGGAGTATGTGCCTGTAAATTAGCCCTCCCAAGTCTAAACTAGGAAGGAGTCAAATCCTTGAATAGAACAATAACAATTTCTGAAATTGAGGCAATAATTAATAGCCTACCAACCAAAAAAAGTTCAGGACCAGATGAATTCATGGCCGAATTCTACCAGTGGTACAAAGAGGAGCTGTTACCATTCCTTCTGAAACCATTCCAAATAATAAAAAAAAGATGGAATCCTCCATGACTCATTTTATGAATGAATGGTATCATCCTGATACCAAAACGTGGCAGAGATACAACAGAAACAAAAAATAAAATTTTAGGCCAATACCCTTGAAGAAGATTGATGTGAAAATCCTCAATAAAATATTGTCAAACCAAATCCAGCAGCACATCCAAAAGCTTATCCACCACAATCATGTCTGCTTCATCCCAAAGATGAATATTCAACATATGCAAATCAATAAACATAATTCATCACGGAATTATGCAGAACCAATGACAAAAATCACATGATTACCTCAAGACAATTCTAAGCAAAAACAAAAACAATATTAATGGAGGCATCATGATACCTGACTTGAAACTATACAACAAGACTACAGAAACCAAAACAGCATAGTACTGGCACCAAAATAGGTATTTAAACCAATGGAACAGAACAGAGGCCTCAGAAATAACACCACACACATACAACCATCTGATCTTTGACAAAGCTGACAAAAACAAGCAATGTGGAAAGTATTCCCTGTTTAATAAATGGTGTTTGGAAAACTAGCTGGCCATATGCAGAAAACTGAAACTGGATCCCTTCCTTCCACCTTATACAAAAATTAACTCCAGATGGATTAAGACTAAAACATAAGAGCTGAAGCCATAAAAACCTTAGAAGAAAGCCTAAGCAATAACACTCAGGACCGAGCATGGGCAAAGCCTTCATGACTAAAATACCAAAAGCAATGGCAACAAAAGCCAAAATTGACAAATGAGTTCTAATTAACCTAAAGAGCTTCTGCACAGCAAAAGAAACTATCATCAGTGTGAACAGGCAACATACAGAATGGGAGAAAAAATTTGCAATCTACTCATCTGACAAAGGGCTAATATCTGGAATCTACAGAAGACTTTTAATGTAAAAAGTAATCAAACAACCCCACCAAAATGTAGGCAAAGGATATGAACAGACACTTCTCAAAAACAGACATTTATGCAGCCAACAAATATGACAAAAAGGTAATCATCACTGATCATTAGAGAAATGTAAATCAAAACCACAATGAGATATCATCTCACTTCATTTAGAATGACATTCATTAAAAGGTCAGAAAACAACAGATGCTGAAGAGGATGCAGAGAAATAGGAATACTTTTACACTGTTGGTGGGAGTGTAAATTAGTTCAACCATTGTGGAAGACAGTGTGGCAATTCCTCAAGGATCTAGAACCAGAAATACCATTTGACTAAGCAATGTAACTACTAGGTATATGCTCAAAAGATTATAAATCTTTCTGCTAGAAAGACACATGCACACACGTATGTTTATTGCAGCACTTTTCACAATAGCAAAGACGTGGAGTCAACCCAAATGGCCATCAATGATAGACTAGATAAAGAAAATGTGACAAATATATACCATGGAATACTCTACAGCCATGAAAAAGGATAATTTCATGTTCTTTGCAGAGACATGGATGAAGCGGTAAACTATCATTCTCACCAAACTCACACTGGAACAGAAAACCAAACACCACATGTTCTCACTCATAAGTGGGAGTTGAGCAATGAAAATACATGGATACACAGTGGGATATCACACGCTGGGGCCTGTCAGTGGGTAGGGGAAGAAGGGAGGGATAGTGTTAGGAGAAATATCTAATGTAGATGATGGGTTGATGGGTGCAGCAAACCACCATGGCACACGTATACCTATGTAACAAATCTGCAGGTTCTGTACATGTATCCCAGAACTTAAAGTATAACAATAATAATAATAATAATAATAAAGACCTTTTCTCTCCTCACTCTATTCTAATATATTTATATTAGTCATTTATATATGACTAAAAGAAGTTTCACTTTTTTAGAACCCTGTCGTAATTCCCAGTATAGCTGTTCTTTATGCCCAAGTTTTGCAAAACTTGTGTTAAATAATTATGTTATAGCAGAGAAAATATCAACTTTTCCTTCCCGATATCCCATTCAAATGCTAAAATGCATCTCATAACAGTTTTAGAAATAAAAATATTTGGGAGATTATTCTCCATGGGTCTAGCCCAATTCTCTATATATGCCAATTGAGATAATGACTAGTTTTATTTGGGATTATCTTTTCACAGATATTTCCATTGCAAAAAGCCTGGAAAGATAACAATAATGTCTCCAACCAGAGACAATGACAGGCACACTTCCTGTTCAGTGTAATAAAGATTTCTCCAGTATAATAAAGACAGTGTTTCCCTCTGGAGCTAAAATCAGGCAAGCTTACAGCCTACTTAAAAGATCCTGGTTCCCTAACCTCAGAGATCCTTACTGAAACACAAGTCACTGTGTGTGTGGCTGCACCTTTGCATTCTTTCACCTCACCCTGTTGGGACTTGGCCCAGGGGAACAAGCACAGAAAACGTCCAAGATCCACTTCCGTTGCTCTAAGTAACAAAGTCTTTTGTCTCTCATTCAGGAATATCATTTCTTCTTTCAGCGTACATGTAACTGCGATAGGCAAATTTGTACTTTCTCCTCCTTGATTCTGTTGCTGTCTATACACTGTTTCTTCATCAAGTCTGTGTACAAGTATAGCGACTATCCATCTCAGTTTGCCCAGACTTTCCTGGTTTTAACACTATAAGTTCTACATCTAAAGAAACACTTTGGTACCGGATAAACAAGAACGCATACAAAAACGTTCTCTCCCTTCTTTGCTTTCCCTTTCTCTATATTTTCTCCTTACCTCTTCCCTCATTCATTCTTTCTTTCTTTCCCTCCCTCCTTCTTTCTTTCCTCCTTCCCTTTTCCTTTCCTTCCTGCCTTCTTTCCTTCCACCATTTTTTAATTAGAATTTTAAAAAAAGGTATCAAAGAATTAACTTCGAGTGTCAGGCATCAAGATTTAGAACATTAACTGTTGTCTGTGTAATTAATTAGGACAGTAATAGAAAGAAATTACTGGTGTTTGAGTAGTTTTGACCTTTATTACCTACTATTTATAGATAACCTTTTCATATATAGTAATTCTATGTCCTGAGATTGATTCTATAATTGTTTTTAAATATTTGCTGCTAATCCCTCTGGTAGGGTTTGCTTCCTTGTCCATTCATCAAACCTGGTCATGCGACTTGCAGTTCCCCTTTTTATGGGGGAGATTTTACCTGCCCATCACAATGAAATCAAGATCGTCTCTGTGGTTTTCTTTAGCCAGGGAAATATAAGCAGAATAACACATAGCCTTTCGAAAAAAAAGCCTTTCTTTTTTTTTTTTTTGAGACGCAGATTCTCTCTTGTTACCCAGGCTGGAGTGCAATGGCGCGATCTCGGCTCACCGCAACCTCCGCCTCCTGGGTTCAGGTAATTCTCCTGCCTCAACCTCCTGAGTAGCTGCGGTTACAGGCACGTGCCACCATGCCCAGCTAATTTTTTGTATTTTTAGTAGAGACGGGGTTTCACCTCGTTGACCAGGATGGTCTCGATCTCTTGACCTCGTGATCCACCCACCTCGGCCTCCCAAAGTGCTGGGATTACAGGCTTGAGCCACCGCACCCAGTCAAGAGAACTTTCAAGAGCCAGAATGTTCTGTTGTTCCACCATTGTCCTTTGTCATTTGCTGCTGTATTGGCAATGTTCCATGTAGACAGATCTAAAACTGGAATCAGGTTATCTGTGTCTTCTGTACATTGATAAATCACACAAAACAATACAGAAATCATCCCATTTTGGTAACATTTTTCTCATTCTCTGTCCATTTTACTTTGGGAAGGAAACATCGTTCACCATTCAGAATAGTTAGAAGTATTGCTGAATAGTTGATTACTACAGATCAGTTACATCAGAGCAAGAAACACTCTGATATAAAATTAATTTCTAGATTATAATTCATATTTTTCTCCATGACAACTTTATGTGTTCCTGGAAGCCTAGTCTCTCAGCCATCCAAACTTTCAGAAAACAGAAATAGTTAATATTGAGTGGTAAAATTTTGAAGAAAAACACATTTAAGAGAACCTTGCCAGGACTGATTTATCTAACTAATTAGCTGTTTGATCATGTATAGGTCACAATAGCTTTTGATATTTATTTCCTCATTGAAAAGGGAAGTGATTGAGGTCTCGAAGTTCCTTCAGTGTTAACATTTGATCTCTCTCCAGAGCGTTATTGAGTTTAATGACAGTAATTTCCCACTTTTATGAGAGAACTATGTTTTTTATATCATGTTCTGATAAATTGGTGTTATTCCTTCTTTCTCTAAAATCCTTGAATGTTCTGGTTTGCACAGTCCATATGTGCAAGTGTTCCTTGAAATTTATGCAAAATGTATAATTTAGGACTCTTTTCAATGACATTGCTCTTGAACAAGTAAGGAAAGACAAAGTAGCTGAAATTTTGCATGACAAATATTGTTCTTAGCAGGTAATTGTGGACATACTCCTATATAGGTTTCAAAGTCTGCTATCACCAATGTTTAGGATTGAATGAAGGTAGGTAAGAATTCAGTAGAATTCACTGTGTCATTTCTATAGGAATACAGTCATCATGAGTATCCGTTTGAATCAATAGTAATTAAGGCTCAAATTACCACCTTCTAAATGTCATGCTGGCTCTCCAAGGAGGGTAACAAAGGGCCGTATCAATGTAGGGTCCATTTGACTTGTTCTTCACATAATACAAATCATTCTCATTGTAATGGAAATTTGCACACAAGTCAGAGTACATTTACTTCTTTCTCCAGATCATAGATGGCTGAAGACTCCAAATAAAGTGTTCCTCTAAAGACTGGGAACTAGTAGAAAAATTTCACTCTGATAGTGAAGTTGGAAAGATTCAACATAAATTAAATGAGATTAGCCATCTGCAGAAGTGACCCATTCTAACAGATGGTTTCTACATGTGAAAATGATTACACAAGGGTGCTTCTCAAATCTCATTTAAGAGACAAAAATAAAGCCAATGTAAGCTAAACTGACCTAATTAATTGCTACTTCTTTTATGTAATGTCTGAAGAAGGCGAAGGCATGCTGAAGGAAGGAAGAAAAGAAAAGCCAAAGGGCCAGAATTTGACACTGACATTCATTCATTCAACATTTATTGAGCACCTAGACTTACAGGTCAAGCATTACGCAATACTTGACTGACACTTAGAGAATAAAGAAGGCAAATGTTTGTGTTTTCTTGGCAAATATTATTTTCTGTTGTAGAGGGTTGGATCAAAGTATCAGATTTTATTAAACTTCCAAATTTCTTCAGTCAAATATCATAGATTTGAAAGCTGATCAACTAGTATAAATATTTAACTTACATCTCTTTTTTCTTTAATTTGAACATACTTAAATTATTATTGAGAAAATACTAAGTGAAAGACGTTTTGCATAAAGCTATGTAGAAAGCAGTCATAAGCATGTGTAGATGTATTGCTTGCTGCCCTCAACGAGTGTAATCATAAGAGAAATAAAATCCGAGAAAACCTACATATAGTATTAAGTGAAAGGAAATGGCAAACACACAAAAATTCTGCAATCGGCATTTGGAAGCAGAAGGTTGAATAGAAAAAGCGTTCATGGAGAAAACAAGCTGAACTTGAAAAGATTTGAATAGCTTTAGAAAGAAGGAATAGCACTCTAATTGGAGAGTAAAATGTAGCAATGCATAAAAGCAGGAAAAAGTAAAGCTGGAAACATTGCTGGAATGTAGCAGATATGGAAAGGAAGTAATAGCAGGTAAAAGCAGAAAAATATTTTGAATAAATTCAGCATGAATTTTATGCCAAGATAAATATATTGGACTTAATTCTGTAGAATACAGAAAAAAACATTGAAATTTTGAGTTATGATATAAATGGAGATCATGATTAAACATTTGAATGTCTCCATCCAAAGTTATAAATTGCTTTCTAACTTTTAAATTAATCCAATGTTAATATACTAGCACGTGAACATCCCTAGATAGACTGATACAATCGATTTCCAGATTTTAAAATACCGAGAACCAGACTCTGGTCCCATGATACAAATGTTTCATGGAGTCATAAGATAGGAAAAGTTGTTGCTAGATATTTTATCCATCCCTTTTCTCCTCCAAACTATGATAAGGCCGACATTTGAAAAACTGAATTATCAGTGAATTAAAAACTGAATTCAGCCAAACTATGATACATTTAGTGAAATAATAATTCTTCATTAAAAAAGCCTTTTTTTTTTTGCCTCAAAGCTGCTAACAGTATATAATGACTTTATTGTACATGTATTCTCCTTAGAATTTGATATTTCACATACTTTGAGTTTGGAGCATTGTTTCAGCAATCTTCTTTCTAATGAAAACCTATCTTCTGAGAGTAAGTTTTTAGAAATATAATTTAATTTGTGCTTCAAGTCAGAGATTCGAATTTTAAAGTACTTCTCTCTGTGTTTCCTTCAAGGAGGAATTTTTAACGTCATTGACCTTCATAATTCTACACAACTGTTTTCTTTTGTCATATGCATCCCTGATTTGATTAGGGGCCAAGATGTCATGTTGTATACCCTTAAAAACCATGTTTGAGAAGCCTATTCTAAACATTGAAAAAAGAAAAATGACCACCTAATTGACTGACTTTGATGTAAATGTAATCATTTTCCTTTTCTCGGGATTACTTAATTAAACTGTTACCTTTCCATGAGAGATTTTAATACATAGTAACACTAAGAATTCATTTTGTATTTGCGTGTCACTGGACTGTGCATCATGTCATTAATAACAGGTATATAGCTGCGCTTTTTACTTTATAATTTTCTAATGATAGAATATTGATGTATTGCTCCTTTCTTTTAATAAGCTGGTGTCTATCACCACAAAGATTTTGATGGAAATACTCACTAAGACATAAAAATAGAAAACTAAAAATCGAAAAGTACTTCCATATTGAAAAATAATCCAGGAGAAATAGCATTTTCTCATAGGATTATGTACTATTAGGCTGCACAAATGGTGCTGATGCTATGATTTGGGGTAAGTTTTACATCAGACGTAGGATTAATTCAAAATTCATGTCCTTCATCAGCCCATTACCAACCCTTGTAGTCAAACCTCATATGGGGACTTATAAGGCTCTCTCTTATCCAATTCCAACCACATTGCCTCAAACCTCAAAGACAGTGGAGGTTGTCATAGGCTTTTTTACCCTATGTGTTTTTTATAATTCATACCAAGGGCACTGGCCCCACCACTTCCATAAGCCCCATGCCTGAGATCAGGCAATCTTCTAAGGATAATGCAATAGGTTGAATTCTGCCACTCAAATGTAGAAGAGTTATCCTCCAGTACTTGCAATTGTGACCTTATTTGGAAATAATGGCTTTGCAGAAAATCAAGTTAAGATGAAGTTATTTGACTGGGCCCTATTCCAACAAGACTATATTCTTATAAAAAGCATAAAGCATAAATTTGAACACAGAGACAAATATACAGGAAGAATACTATGTGAATATTGGAATTGGATTACCACAAACCAAGGACAATCAAAGATTGCCAGAAAATCATCAGAAGCCAGAAAATCATCAGAAGCCAGAAAACAGGCTTCTGGTCCTCAGAAAGAAGCAATGTTAGACTTCAGATCTGCAAGACAGTAAATTTCTCTTGTTTGAGCCATCTATTTTGTGGTATGGCAGCCCTAGGAAATTAATACAAGTGGCCATGACTATCTCCTCTGAGAACATTTGAGACAATTGTTTCATAATACTAACCAGCCCTTCCAGTCAATGTGGTAACTTTCAGCCTCGCCTAGAATGGTCTTAAGTCCTGCTGGACAAGAGAAAGACATTCTGGCCTTTCCTCCCTTCTAATATTAGTTGTGAAAGACATGGATGCACTCAAAACTTCAAAAATATCATGATCTAGGGATGCATTGGTTATGACATAAAGAGTATTAGAGAAGACATTTTTTGGATATGTATATGATATTAATGCCACAAAATAATTTTAAATGTTCTTAATTTTAATTTATCATGACCAAAAATTGAATTGCTGTCCACATTTTCCTGTATACTCTGGATAAGACTTGATTTGTGGTCACCATCAGCAAAGTACAGTGATAATCTGAGAGGCATTGGAAGCAAATGTTCATGGGCAACACAATGAATGATTCAACATATGAGTAACAATGAAAAACCGGGATTATGTACGTGGTTTTAGGGAAGTGAAGAGGCATGGAGTAACTGAAGAGTCATGGCACAATGAAAAATAGCGGAGTCACTACCTTTTTTTAAAATTCCAATGGGAGATATAAAATTAAAATTAGCCAAGCATGTTGCATTTGAAAATAAAGGGAAACAAAAAGGTAGTTTTGGACCTGAATAACAAAAGATTCTGGACATTAACAAGAGTATTTCTAGACACTGATTTGGCAATAGATAGGAGTACCTCTTTTATATCTATGTTTCTCAATCTTCATTAATAAATCACTATGTTTCAGATGAGCTCATACATTTTGTAACATGTAGTCTGCCCAACTTATTTACATGGTAATGGGACTTGGAAGTGATGGTCAT